AGAGCTGAGAGTTAGTTCCCGCCTGCACTGGGGCTGTGGTTCGCAGATGCCAAGACGGCAGCCGTGTTGTTACTCCCTGGTGGCGAAATAAACACGAACCAACACCATCACGGTAAAGACAGAGTTTTACATCTTAGGATGTTTGTTTAACACAAATAACAAGACCTCTGGGATGCTTAGCAATTTTAAGTAAGATTTATTTTATTCCCTCTATTGTTTGATTTGTGTTTATGGCTGCACTAATGTTTGATTGCCTTAAACACGAATAGAAGCTCCAGTGAGTCCTTGCTTATTTATTTTTCTTAAAGGCGATTTCTTTCATTTTCTTTCCAGTTGTTTCTTCCATCCAATTGTCAGGGAAATATTTATTTCCTTCCGTGCGCATGAGCACAGCATTTTAATTTCAACAGAGGTTTTTTTTTTTTTTTCAGAGTATTCTACTGATTTTTACTAAAATATTGTTTTGTCCACGTGTAATCTACATATAATTTGTCTACATTTCCTAGGTGGGAATTCACTCAAAATTTATGTTTCTGTTTTGGTATTTGCTGCTTGATTTACTCTGTCTGCAAGTGCAGGACCGGAGCACAGGCTGGTGGCATTTATTTTATATTGCACCCTGCTTTTTCGTCACTAATCCTCCATGAACCCCTGCACTATCATTTGTTTTCCTAATGCAGCACATTAAGGCCGGGTCCAGGTTGCCAGCGCGTTTGTGGGAGCGTTGCTGCCGTATTTCTGTAGCCACTGGTGCGGATCTATTATTTTTGCTCTGTGATTCTATATTTCTCCACGCCGGTTGGCTATTCAATTCCAGAGCTGTTTTCTTCTATGTGGGGCTCAGGATGTTGTATTTACATGAGTAACATTATGTATTTCCCAGAAAACCGTTTTAGAATGGCTTCCCACGCCCGTGTGGTGTAAAGTAGTTGGAGGTTTTCTCTCATAAATATTTTCTTAAAGTGTGTTTTAGACTCCGTTCTGTCTTGAAGACTGGGAAATAAACTGCCGCGGCCGTGTTCTAAAAGGGTAACAAAGGGTGAAAGGAACCAGCACTGACCGAGCACAGCATCGCTGTGAACTCGGGGTTCACGTCCACACGGGGCTGTGGACAAAGAACAGGACTTGAGGTGGCCATTCAGCCTCATGGTAAGGGCGCCCGCATGCCCCACGGGAGTGCCCGCCTTCCACCCGGCTCCACGCCCGTGGTTAGGGTGCCCGCGTCCCCCACGGGAGTGCCCGCCTTCCATCCGGCTCCACGCCTGTGGTTAGGGTGCCCGCGTCCCCCACGGGAGTGTCTGCCTTCCACACAGCTCCACGCCCGTGGTTAGGGTGCCCACGTCCCCCACGGGAGTGCCCGCCTTCCACCCGGCTCCACGCCCGTGGTTAGGGTGCCCACGTCCCACTCGGGAGTGCCCGCCTTCCACACAGCTCCACGCCTGTGGTTAGGGTGTCCGCGTCCCCCACGGGAGTGTCTGCCTTCCACCCGGCTCCACGCCCGTGGTTAGGGTGCCCGCATCCCCCACGGGAGTGCCCGCCTTCCACACAGCTCCACGCCTGTGGTTAGGGTGCCCGCGTCCCCCACGGGAGTGTCTGCCTTCCACCCGGCTCCACGCCAGTGGTGAAGGTGCCTGCGTCCCACATGGGAGTGCCCGCCTTCCATCCAACTCCACGCCTGTGGTTAGAGTGCCCATGTTCCCCACGGGAGTGCCCACCTTCCACGCGGCTCCATGCCCGTGGTTAGGGTGACTATGTCTCCCACGGGAGTGCCCGTCTTCCACCCGGCTCCATGCCCGTGGTTAGGGTGACTGTGTCCCACACGGGAGTGCCCACCTTCCACCCGGCTCCATGCCCGTGGTTAGGGTGCCCGCGTCCCCCACGGGAGTGTCTGCCTTCCATCCAACTCCACGCCCGTGGTTAGGGTGCCCGCATCCCACACGGGAGTGTCTGCCTTCCACCTGGCTCCACGCCCGTGGTTAGGGTGCCCACATTCCCCACGGGAGTGCCTGCCTTCCACATAGCTCCACGCCCGTGGTTAGGGTGCCTGTGTCTCCCACGGGAGTACCCGCCTTCCACCCGGCTCCACGCCCGTGGTTAGGGTGCCCGCGTCCCCCACGGGAGTGCCCGCCTTCCACACAGCTCCACGCCAGTGCTTAGGGTGCCCACGTCCCCCACGGGAGTGCCCGCCTTCCACGCAGCTCCACGCCCGTGGTTAGGGTGCCCACGTCCCCCATGGGAGTGCCTGCCTTCCATCCGGCTCCTGCCGGATCCCAGCTTCCCGCTCACGCACACCTTCAGAGGCAGCAGTGGTGCTAGGGTCCTGGGCTCCTGCCACCTGCTGGGTGACCTGGGCTGCATTCCAGTCTCCCGGCGCTGGCAGAGCCCAGCCTGGCCACTGCAGGCGTTCGGAAAGTGAACTAGCAGATGGGAGCGCCTGCCTCTCTTTGTCTCTGAAACACATTAAGTGCATTCTAAGAAAAGTTCGTGGAAATGGGACTAAAAGATAAATTTCTTTTGACACAAACAGCTTTGAATCCTTGCCTGGTGTTTTACTCCACGAGCTTTCGGGGGACCCGTGTGGGTCAGGAATATTTGTGGGATGTGCTTGTGCAGAAATTACCTGCCGCTAAGCTAACCGCAGGACGGTCACCTTCCCCTCCTCACCACGTTTCTCGCCTCCTCCTCCGCTACGCTGACCGAGCACGCTGGCTGCACCTGTCCCAGACTCCGCCGCCAGCTCTGACCCCCCGTACTCTGAGTGAGGAGAACCCTCTGGTGAGACTCCCGTAACTCAGGACGCAATGCTGAGGTCCAGGGCAGCCAACGTTTCCAGAAAGGGAAGAGCTATTTATTTATTTGTTTGGGGGATGAGAAGAACCATCTCTGCCTTATTCGTTCTCCCAATGCAAGCGTTCACAGACCTCTCAGGGCGGCTCCCGTGTGGGCCTGACAGGTCGTATGGTCTCTCAGCTCAGTGCAGGCTGAGACAGCTGGACACTGGCAACCCCGTGGCCAGTGCAAGTGCCGAACGCGGTACGGCAGAGGCACGTGCGGAGTGCCGAGGGCTCTCTGGGCCATGGAGTGGCGGCTTTTGAGAAATACCTCAAAGCCAGGGGGCGCCGGTGGCCCATTCGTGAGCCGATTTTGAGTGCTCCAGCCGGTTCCCAGCACACCTGCTCATGTCGCTCTTAGAAGCCATCTCCTCCGGTTGATCCAAAGATGGCGCTGCGGTCTCCAGGGGCGCCCAGACCGGGCCTCAGCGTTCTGCTACCACCCCTACCCGTTCCTTGCTTATAAAGAGCTGTGGACAGCAGAACGCTTTCAGGCCAGGCGTTGTCTTCCTCTGCTGGGTGACAACTCAAGTCCGCAAGATCCTCAGGGGAGAAGCAGTGCGTCCTCGAGAGCCGAGCCGCCGCTGCTCTGTTTCCAGCGAGAGTCGCTCAGAAGTCCCTCCCTGAGAGCATCTCTAATGCCCGTCACCACCGCCCGATTTCCAGAGCGGCCACAGCTGGGAAGACCCAGCCGCTTAAGAGGAGGCCAGGTCCTTGCCAGCGTCACTGGGCCTGAAACGGTTCTGGGTGGACTCACCACCCTCCCTCTGCCTTTTTCCGAGGACCCAGGACGAGACCAGGAGGCCCACTCTCATCGCTTTTATGCTGCGCAGTCCTGGAAGTCGTAGCCAGAACATTCAGGCCAGAGAAAGGGGAAAGGAGAATCCAAGCTGATCTCCGTTCTAAAGGCGCCAGAACCATCCAAAGCAGACACGTTTCTGTTGGCGCAAGACGCTTGGGATGTTTCCATTTCCCTGTCAGTTCTTCCAGGTTTTGACACTCAGCTCAGCGTTAGAAATTCGGAACACGCAATTCGTCTTGCGCTGACGGATAGAGCAGGAGAGGAATTAGCGCCAGGCGTGCTGGCTGACCACGCGGCCACGGCTCTCTGCTTCTGCTGGCCGCCTTCGCACTCCGTCCTCGACGTCAGCATCGGTTCATCGTCACCTTCCCCGCGACGCCTTCCCTTCCCTGGGAGGGGTGAGCCCGTGAGTTGCGCACCGACCATCAGACGCGTGTTTGGCTTGTGTGATGAAGACAGAGTGCTCCCTCCCCTCCAGGAACAGAAGGGGATAGTTCTGAGTTACAGTGAGATACTCAGCAAATGAGCCCAGCAGCTCAGCCACGCGAGGGAAATGACAGCATCGCAATGGAAAACGGAAACATCTGCATCTTGATGAAGCTGCGTCGGCCAAAATCACCAGTCGCTACTCTGCAGAACACAGTCAAATTTCGGGCATTTGACGCCTGTGTTGCTTGGTCTTGGGAAAGCTGTGGATTCACAGGAAAAATGGAAAAAGTGGTAGAGAGAGCTGCACGCACTCCTTCTCCCAGCCGGGACAATCTCTCGGCCTCACCGCTTTTGAAAACCCCTGCAGTCCTCAAGGGCACTGGCATTTATTTTGTAGAATGTCTTCAGTCGGCTTTTGTCTGGGTTTGTATTGATTGGATTAGGGTTGCGGATTTGGGGCAAGAAGACCACGGGATGAAGCACTGCTCTCAGCACATCCGAGAGGTGTGTATCGTCTCCACGACCTTCCGCTCTGGAATGAGGCTGTGGTGCAGCCGGCCGTTCCACTGCCCCTCCTGGGGGCAGGGTCGTGCTGTGAAGTGCGTGGGATTCTGCCGAATGGAGCGTTTTCTGTTCCTTCCCATTTGTCTACTGATTTGATCGTTTATCTGCAGCCATTTGGTTGCCTGGATATTTACTTTTTTTAAGATTTATTAATGTATTGGAAAGGCGGAGATACAGAGAGCAGAGGCAGAGAGAGAGAGAGAGAGAGAGGGAGGGAGGGAGAGAGAGGCCTTCCATCCACTGGTTCACTTCCCAAATGGCTGCAATGGCGGAGCTGTGCTGATCTGAAGCCAGGAGCTTCTTCCAGGTCTCCCACGTGGGTGCAGGGGCCCAAGGACTTGGGCCATCCTCCACTGCTTTCCCAGGCCACAGCAGAGAGCTGGATCGGGTGTGGAGCAGCCGGCACTTGAACTGGCTGCCATGTGGGATGCCGGTACTGCAGGCGGTGGCTTTACCCGCTACGCCACAGCACCGGCCCCTGGGTATTTCCTTTTTATTTTGCTTTATAATGAATGACGACTTTGCGTTGCCCGGTTTGTTCCCACTGCGGCCGTTGCGAGCTCTGTGAGTTGGATCCTGCTCTGCTCCGTCGGGACTTCGTTGTCTTCTTTTATCTCTCAGGTTACGGACACTCCCCCTCGCGCACGGCGAGAGCCCCCAGGTTCCTTTATAAACCTCCTGCCCTAGTCTCGGACGCGGGCGTTTCTCCAAGGACCTGCGGCTCCTTCTACGGGAGGGCGGAAGCCCTGCGTCGGCCACCCGGGCACCGCCGTGCTCCTTGTCGACGTGTGTCACCGCGTGTTGGCTTCTCAGCTGACAGAGCAGTGCTAAGCCGTGCACATACACGTATGAACAACTCTCATAAACGCAGCAGTCGTGTTACAACAAGGCAAGGGTGAACGTGCTGGCGTCTCCAACCCTTACCTCACTCCAGCCCCTGACCTCCCAGCCCCACGGTGAGAGACCTGGCTCCCAGCAGCGCGCTCGTGTCCTGTGTGGGAAGCCCCTTCGTCCACAAGGTCCAGTGCTATGAAGTTTCTTGTGCCTGCCTTCTGGAAGATTCCTCTCGTTTCCAAGCTTCCTTAGGCTGGCACTCCCACACCCGCCCATTCAGTGGGGCGGTTTCATGTATTTGCTCCCTCGTTCTGCTTTCCCTTCTGGGTTTCTCAGCCCTCCCAAGCGAGTTTGCGTTTTCTATGCGTTAGGATTGGCCCCTGGTGCCCCTGAGTGTTTGAGCTTTGACAAGTGCACCTTGTCCCGCTCCAGGACTGCGGCACAGCCCGCTTCTCCAGCTGCCTCCTGCTCCTCTGCTCCCCGAAACCCCGCAGCCCTGATCTTTTCAGCTGTCTTCACAGCCTTGCCATAGTCAGAGTGTTGTATGAGCAGACTGTGTGGGGCCTCTTGGGGCCCAACTCTTTCTCTCTTTCACCTGGAAGCAAACGTTTCAGAGCCACTCATGTATCCGAGTCCCTTTTTTTTTCTCTCCTTGGATGATATTCCACTGGGAGGATACACAGTAGCTGGTGCACCCGTTCCCCTGTTGTGTGGTTCCTTCCGGTTGGGGCAGTTGTGAACGATTCTGCCACAGACAGTCAGGCAGATGCTTCTCCTGGAGGTGGATTTCAGATCAAATGGGTGTCTTGGTGACTGTGCAGAATACCCGCCTTTCAAGAAAGTTATTGATGTCCATTTTGCTGAGATTCTGTTTTTGTGAGGATGACCGTAATGACTTTCAAATTCTTTGTATGCCAGACCTGAAACTGAAAGACGAGTTCCATTTTTTAAGGAAACAGTGATGAGAACGTATGAAGTCAACTCCCTGGAGGTCTTGCCTGCAGCTTGCAAAACACAAAAGCAGACAATGTCTCACAAACTTTCCAGCTTTGGGCCTCAGCATGGGATCCCCTAGCAGCAGAAGACAAGGAGAAGGAAATAGGCACAGCTCTTTTTCCATTTTTGCTTCAAACATAAAATGTTTACAGTTTCATTCTGTGTGCAAAATTTGAGCCCTGTATTGAGTGAAGAAATAATGCCCATGACTGGGGCAGTGAAAAACTGCAGTTGGTATCCCATGGTTCACCTGGGGCCGCACCTGCCTGGAGTTGGTATCCCATGGTTCACCTGGGGCCGCACCTGCCTGGAGTTGGTATCCCATGGTTCACCTGGGGCCGCACCTGCCTGGAGTTGGTATCCCATGGTTCACCTGGGCCGCACCTGCCTGGAGTTGGTATCCCATGGTTCACCTGGGGCCGCACCTGCCTGGAGTTGGTATCCCATGGTTCACCTGGGCCGCATCTGCCTGGAGTTGGTATCCCATGGTTCACCTGGGGCCGCACCTGCTTGGAGTTGGTATCCCATGGTTCACCTGGGCTGCATCTGCCTGGAGTTGGTATCCCATGGTTCACCTGGGCCACACCTGCCTGGAGTTGGTATCCCATAGTTCACCTGGGGCCGCACCTACCTAGAGTTGGTATCCCATGGTTCACCTGGGCCGCACCTGCCTGGAGTTGTTACTCTGGGGTGCAGCTGGGGCCGCACCTGCCTGGAGTTGGTATCCCATGGTTCACCTGGGCCACACTGCCTGGAGTTGTTACTCTGGGGTGCAGCTGGGGTCACACCTGCCTGGAGTTGGTATCCTGTGGCTCCAAATGTGATGCCTCAAATGCACTATGTGGACTGGAGTTTTCATTATCTAACAGAGAGAACATGTAAGTTTGAGGTCCCAGTTGATTAAATTAAAAACTACCCAACTATTCTGCACTGTATTATAGAGCCAAGAGCATGAATGTATCCAAAGTCTTCCTTGGAAGTTAGGAGTTTGGGATTTATGTCCACCCCTAGTTTCTCAGGCAACATTTTCTACCTTACACACACACACCACACACACACATACACGCACACACACACATGTGCATGCACACAGAGTGTTGAAAAGTTCATGGAAGAGCATGTTATGCAAAACCTATGTATAGATTTCTAAAATTTTGCACCCAATTCAGCTTATCTTTTAATTCCACTTTTCTGCAAACTTTTTGCGCTTTCTTCAAACAGATGATGTAGATGTGTAGATACGACAGAGCTGGATGTCTAGATGCAGAGAGGCGTGTAGATGTGCGGACAATGGCAGATGTGCACAGGTGTGAAGAGTAACATCGATCTGTATTTTTAAAGGCGTCCCTGAGATCTGGTGCTGGTGCACCCTTCATTAAGTTTCTCAGATGGGAAGTCAGCTTTAATGGTGTCAGAAGTATTTATTGGTTTTTGTAAAAGCAAGATAGATTCATTATCAAAACGTTTAATGCAGTGTCTGTCCCAGTGGGCTCCAGCCCTGCTAACAGCTGCTGTTGTCTTTGTGGTTTTATCTTTGCGTCTCCACTTCACAAGTGGACTTTTTACTCACAGTGGACGGTGCGATACGCACTGGGAGCTTACACAGATCCAGCTCCGCGATCTCCACCGAGGGCCACATTTCCTGGGAGCGGGTGATTCTGTCGCTGGTCCTCTCGGGGCCGTGAGTGCCCGGGAGTGTGGGGAGAAGGGGGGTGTGGCCCCCATGTTCCTGGGTGGTCTGAACTCCCGGAGGCCTCTCCCCACATGGCCAGTCTGTGTTGTTGAGCACTTTCCTGCCTGGGGATCCTTAGCCCCCACCATGCTTTTCGTTTTTGTTTCTTTATGGGATGAGCGTCGTCTTCCCCATCCTGAGGACAGCGTGGCTGATTTCGCATCTACTTTCTTCCCAGCACTGCTCTCGCCCGTGGAGAGAGTGATTTCTGTAACAGGTAAGCCTGGGCCCGCGAGTTAAGTGTGTGCAGCTCAGGCATCCATCACTGCCTGGCCAGTTCCCCGGCCTCCCCCCAGCTCCACGGGGAGGCTGATTGGCACGATCTGTGCCTGCTGGGAGAGGCCAGAGCTCTGGCACCTGCCGTATGCACAGCTCAGACCCCCTCTGATCCAGTTCCAGCCTTAACTCGTCAGCGAGGGGTGGGCGTTCCTGGGATCCTCGTCACTCCCCTGCTGGTTTCTCTCATTCCAGCATCTTCGGCTTGCTTTTCATTTGGTGCAAAATGTCAGGCAGCCTAGATACCTTCCAGTCCTCCAAGCAATACGTCTTCCTCCAAGTATGATCTCCACCCCTTGTTCCAGCCCAGTTCTCACTGTGCCTGGCTTTTGGCGAGACCTCTCCCCGTGCTGGCCTGAGTCTCCTTCCCCTGGCAGCTTGTCCACCTCAGCAGGTGCAGGAGAGAGCAGACCTCGTCTCACCAAGCCTTGACATGATTTGCAGCCCTGAGCAGCAGTGGACTGCAGCCACGTGGAAGGCCCAGAGCCATCGGCACCCGGCTAAGCTGGCCCATAGGCACGATGAGATGGTGAATAATTGTTGTTTGAAGCCATGATGATTTGAGCTCATTGTGATAGAAAATGAATTTTAGTGCCCAAACGTGGAGTTCTGCCGTAAGAAAAACCTGAAGATGTGAGGATGGCTGGGGGTTGGGTAGTGGGGAGTGGCTGGGAGGACTTTGAGTGTGTAGAAAAGCTTGCCTTCCTTCAGTCGGGCACCGCAGAAATCGGGTTCTGGGGGCCAGCACTGTGGTGTAGCAGGTAAAGCCGCTGCCTGTGGTGCCGGCATCCCATATGGGCGCCGATTCAAGACCCGGCTGCTCCGCTTCCAAACCAGCTCTCTGCTATGGCCTGGGAAGGCAGTGGAGGATGGCCCATGTGACAGACCTCGCTCCTAGCTTCAGATCTGCACGGCTCCGGCTGTTGTAGACACTTGGGGAGTGAACAAGCAGGTGGAAGTCCTCTCTCTTGGTCTTCCCCTCTCTCTCTCTGTAACTCTGCCTCCCAAACAAATAAATAAAATCTTAAAAAAAGGGGTGGGGGTGGGTGGGCCTGGCCCTTGGCAAGATGGTGGGATGGTGTGATGCCAGGGCTTAGGATGGTCATAGAAACCAAGAGGGAGAGGAAGCAGGAAACGGAGATTCTGTCCAGGACCCCCCACCGAGAGCATGTGAGCCACCTTGGCCACCACTGCGCCTGTAGCACTGAAATGTGGCCACCGAGTGACCACTCTGCCTCGAGTCCCACTCAGGACCCCAAGTCTCAGGAACACGGCCGTGGTGACATGCAGGTCCCTGTCCCTCTCTGCCTTGGGAGGCGTGGGAGGGGACGCGCCTTCCCAGTCAGCCCACATGGACGAGGCGCTCAGTGGGGTCATGGCCGAGTGTCCGGCCACTCCCACTAGGACTATACTGTGGTGGAATGAAAAGTTCATGCCAAGATGGCCGCTGAGGTGAAAAGCAACATTGTTGAGAAATCAACTGCAACGCTACACCTGGTGAGGGCAGCCCGTCCCTGAGAGGAAAGAAGGTTCCGGAAAGCGGAGGATGGGTGCTGCTGGCCACATCTGCCTGTAGCTGCATGGCGCCCCTGCACGGGGCATCCTGTGCCTACCTGCAGAACCAGAGGTGGGAGCGCTCCCCGGGGAGCACCCAGCCGTTAGCTGCGGGTGGAGGACCATGGGTGATGGTTTGCTTTGGGCGCACATTCTCTAATATTTGAAATTCTGCGTAGTGAGCATGCACTGCTTCCAAGGAATGAAATGACTTCGGAAAGGAAACAAAGGCGCTGGTGAGGCTGAGGCGGAGTGGGCTTGAGTGACCTGCGCTGTCCCACTGTGCGCTCAGGTCTCCCTCTTGTGACCTGGGCAGTTCTGGCTGTGGCTGGTTGAATTTCTGTGCTGTGACTACACTGGGCCAGGGATTCTAACGCTGTTGTCTCTCCGTCGTTTAGTTCAAGGCCAGCCTCCGCCTCCCATGCCCCTTGTTGCTCCCTTCTTACGGATCCCAGTTCGTGCAGAGAGCAGGCAGAGACCTCCGCGGGATGGTAGCTCGGGAGGTGCAGGCAGCACAGTCAGTGTGTCAGTCGCCCTGTGAGCCTGCACGGTCCTCCAGGGCTTCCCCCACGTGTGGGGCTGGGGCTGCCCACTGCACTGGGCGGAGTGGGCTCTGACGGACATCCCCGCCGGACACAACCAGTCAGACAGTAGCAGAGTTCCTATTCCATACACATGGACATGAACACAGTCATTCCTGAATTCCCAAAACCAGACCCAAAGGGGAGCGGGGGCCCGGCAGTGAGCCATCCCGGGAGTGATGGCTGTGGGGCCATCAGCACCCCCAGGGGACACTTGATTTCTGTGATGGTCTCAGCTACCCTTGTGGTTAATGGAGAGCGTGTTCGTGAATTGAGGAAAAGTGGCATGATGACATTCAAGGTCGGGCAGCTTAAATTGCCTGGGCGCTTACATCAGAGTGTGATGCCTCTTTTTATTACCGAAACACCAAACCCAGTGGATTCCATCTGCCCAGGCACCCGCGGAGCCTGATTTATGCACCCGATTCAATCTATCGCTGACGGATTGCATCACCTGGCAGCACTGATCTGACAGCTGAACTTGATTGGATTTAGCCTGATGAGAAATAAGTATATTGGGACCCGTCTTGGAGGAGGCGAGAGATGGACGCCCTGTGGACCGGCTGGCATCGACTTGGCTCCAAGTGACCTGGTCTACCTCCTGTAAGAGCGTGGCCGTGGCTGTGGCCCCGTGGTCTGCCTCCGTGCACGCCCAGCAGCCTGGCTTTGCAACAGTGTCCAGTGTGCAAAAACAGCAGGAAGATGGAAGCCCCTGAGAATTCTGGGGGGTGGGAAACTCTCTCACTAAGGCCTTCGAGAGGGTCGAATCCTCTCCATTTCCCCAAGAGAAGGAAATGAAAAAAAAATCCACAACACAGACTTGGACAGGCCCAGACTCCGAGCCACACTCTGTCACCACCAGTGCCACGATCCTGGACCGGTGGCCACACCTCCCGGGACCTTCCTTGGCTGTGTCCTCTGTCCCCTGGGACTGGTGCTGGCACCTGCTGGGACTCTGCTGCTGAGTGAAGGGAGACGCTTCCTGTAAGGGTGGCCCGGCATTGCTTCCCCTCGGAAGCCCTCCAGGGCACGCAGTAACCACGCAACAGCGGCTGTGCCTGCAGCACCTGCTGGGGGCCGGGGTGCTGTCCAGCGGGAGAAGGAGCGAGAACGTCTCTTCCTGGCCATCACACAGGGAGGACTGCAGGGCTGGCTGGTGGCCCACGGCCTCTCCACTGTGTCCTGCTGGAAGCCACACCCTGTCCAGCTCTTGGCTCTGCTCAGTCACAGCGAAATCTACCCCAGCGGAAATCATCAACTCTCTCCTTCCCTGATGCTGCTGGAGACCCCACGCTCGCCTGGAAAGAAACTCGGGAGACCCGCTGCCAGTCGCCAGGTTTCACTGCTTTGCACAAGTCTTTATGCACCGCCTGGAATTCCGTGGAAATCCACTCTCCCCCTCCCGACAGGCAACAGACCCAGTGCTTCACAAATCCCGCCCTCTGCCGTCTTAAGAGTCTGTTTCCTTTCACCCACCGCGGAAAGCCCCAGAACAGCACCCACTCTTTATACCCTCTTGACGAGAGGGAGGGTCAGCAAGTCAGTCCCCAGGAAAATCCGCACACGCGGAGCGGGATCCCAGCGGCGCCCGTGGGAAGCTGTCGGCGGATGCCGCTCAGCAGAGGTCGTGGGTTAACTTCAAAGCAAGCAGTGTTTCTCTGCTGGAGCCACTGGACAAGGGGAGGGGAAACAGCCTGCCCCCGGGGTCAGCCCTCAGCCAGTACTAATTCAGAAGGGATCGTGGAAGTAAATGAGAGCCATGCAGCTTTCACAGGGAAGGCAGGAAATCCTTGGGACCCGAGACTGGGTGAACAGTCCTTAAACCTCGGCCACACGGAGAAACAAAGTTCCCGGGCCTCAGCGATGTTAGAGAGGCTGGCTCTACGTAAGAGCCTGGCGGGGAGAGGAAGAGACAGACGCAGCTCTGGGGTGAAGTAACGACGAAGCGTGCATCTGAGAGACCAGAAAAACACAATAACGATGGGCCGGCGCTGTGGTGCAGCGGGTAAAGCCGCCACCTGCAGCACCGGCATCCCATATGGGCACCAGTTCTAGTCCCGGCTGCTCCACTTCCCATCCAGCTCTCTGCTCTGGCCTGGGGAAGCAGTAGAAGATGGCCCAAGTGCTTGGGCCCCTGCACCCGCGTGGGAGACCTGGAAGAAGCTCCTGGCTTCGGATTGGTGCAGCTCGGGCAGTTGCTAGCAACTGGGGAGTAAACCAGTGGATGGAAGACCCTCTCTCTCTCTTTCTCTCTCTCTGCCTCTCTGTAACTCTGCCTTTCAAATAAACAAATAAATCTTTTAAAAACACAATAATGAGCCCATGTGACTAGAAAATGGACAAAAATGAAGAAAGCGTTCACTGAAGAATGAGTGGCAGGGAAGCACTGGCCGTGTCAATGCTGCAGGCCACTCGGGAACTGGACGAGACCGGTCAGGGCCGAGAAAGGACGTCACAGCTCTTGGGACAGCTGCAGGAGCACGGGAGGGGCAGGTATTTGGCCAAGTGGCTAAGACGCTGGCTGGGACACTCCCGCTCACCTGACTCAGCTTCCTGCTGGCGCGCGTCCTGGGACACCGCCGTGGTGCTAAGTAGTCGTCGGGTCCCTGCCACCCACGTGGGGCATGGGTGGGGTTCCCAGCTCCTGGCCCAGCCCCGCCTGCTGTGGACGCAGCTCTTGTGTTCAACAGTGTTCGTTCCAGTCCCGTGGGACCCTGCTGGGAAAGGAGGAGGAACGGGCGGTTGATTCGCACACAGCTTGCGTGGGTCCCAAGGGGACCGCGATGAGTGAAGAGAAGCCGCTCCCCCGTTCTTGTTCCTGACAAATGGAGCACAGGCGAGAGGTCAGTGGGGACGGGTACTGGGGGTGGCGAGGGTTTCACTGCGTTCGTGGGTGCACGGGAGGACCACCACGGCAGTGACCACAGTGGGGCGGCAGGACCACCACGGCGGTGACCACAGTGGGGCGGCAGGACCACCATGGTGGTGACCACAGTGGGTGGAAGGACCACCACGGCGGTGACCACAGTGGGGCGGCAGGACCACCACGGCGGTGACCACAGTGGGGCGGCAGGACCACCACGGCGGTGACCACAGTGGGCAGGCAGGACCACCACGGCGGTGACCACAGTGGGCGGCAGGACCACCACGGCGGTGACCACAGTGGGGTGCCAGGAAGCCACGCATGATGAAACGCATGGTGTGGCAGCCAGTGCCCCCTTCCCATCGTGCACCACGGCTGCGTAAGGTGGAACTCTAAACCCCTACTTCCTGTCAATCTATAGTAGAACAAAGAGAAAACACTTGGAGGCACCAGCCTGTCTCACCACCTGCACACTCCTGGCCGACTCCCCTGGCTCCTGGTCTGTCTGTCCAGGCTGCGCCTTCTCAGGATGGCCATGCCCACGCGCTGGTCTCCCCCTGGGCAGGGGTATCTGTTGCCAGTGCTGTGTCCCAAGGTGTGTGACTAATTCTCCACTGGCTCGGTTTTCCTAAGATTCCCGGGCCCAGGGGCCGTGTCTGGTGCATTTCCACACCCTCCGTTCAGGCAGGCCCTGCCACACCAAGCACTGGCTGGCACACGTGTTTCTTGGCCGTCCAAGGCCCCAGTGCATCCTGGCTGGGAAGTGACCCTGTGCCTGGCGGGTCCCAGCGTGGGGTTTTCAGCGGTGCACACATTTCAAGAGGCTGGGGACTCCGGGGTGCTCTCCACCCACCCATCCTACTAAACTGCTCCCAGCGTGCTCAGAGCACTCCTGGCTTATCCCCACGTTCAGGTGAGGCACGGAGGCTCAGAAATGGGAAGTGGCTTTCGGAGAGGAATCACGTTAAGGGAGCTGGGTTTGAACCAGGACTGCATCCCTAGGATGTTGGCCCCCACTGCTGTGCTGTGTCAGAG